CACCTTCAGCAACACCATCAACTTCGAATTCCTTAGTTTTGAGAATTTGACAAAGTAGTTTCTCTTGTAGCTTGACTAGACCATGTTCTTTACCTTTTGATCTAACGTCTGAAAGGAAGCAACAACCACCAAATTGTCGAAATATTCGATTGTAGATAGCTTTCACCAGAGTTGTTTTTCCAATTCCACCAACGCCACATATACCAACCATGTGAACTTCATGCTCACATTCACTTTGCAGTAACAACTCTATATGTTGGATAGAAGAATCTAATCCAATTGGGTAATGAGCAACATCTAGAGGTTTCTGGTTGACCTCTTGCAAAACTTGTTTTATAATACTTCCAATAAATTTTGATTCATGCCTACAGTTTTTAGCAACAACAGAAGTTAGAAGTAAAAAAGCAAAACCATACTTTGATAGTTGAAAATATTTGATGAACAAAACAAAATCAATAGCCAACAGATAACAGGGACTCGAGGCTAGAGAACAGAATTTATATATACATATTGATGTTTTTATACTATTAGTAAATTCTAACTACATTTAACAGGTTAATTGCTGTTATTTTACCAGATTATCGATTATTACTACTTCCTTAGCTTGATTGGGCACTGAGTTTTAAGAAATATTGAAAGACTTCGCAATGTTTCAAAACTAACCAACTTATAAGCTTAAGCAAATTCTTAAATTCTAATTAAATTAAGAAGTTTTACCCATCAGCCATGTTTCTCAAATCCCATCCAGATAAATTCGCAGCTTCAGTGAGTGCTGCTTTCCACTTTTCCATTCTTTCAGCTCCAAACAATAATCGTTCCTTGTGTTTTGCCAAAGATTCGCCAAAGGACCCAGTTTGCTTTCGCACTTGAGAAGGATCAACATCATAGAAAATAGGCAAAACTACCTGAATTAACTTCGCTCTGCAATCGAGAATTTTGACAAGTTCATCAAGACACCAACTAGAGGAAGCATAATTTTCTGAGAAAACAACAATGGCAACCCTAGATTGTTCAATTGCTTTGTCAAGTTTTGTTGAAATGACGTCTCCCTTTCTCAATTCCTCATCATCTATGAAGGTATGAACTCCGACTTGACATAATTGGGTGTAAAGATGACCTGTGAAGGTTTTGCGGGTATCTTCACCTCTGAAACTAAGAAATACATCATAATACAAGTGGGAAGAAGAAGATGATGATTCTCCTTGAGTATTCATTGATGAAACCAATAAAGCTCACTGTATAGTATTAGATCAACTCTTTTGCAAGATGCCTCCCAAGTCCTAAGAAATTTAATTTGTTTACTCTCACCCTCAGTTCATTTATAACGATATACATTCATTAACAATAAATAAAATAACAATATTACGATTACACATAAAGTGAATAATTTATTGAATTGGACTGTTTGTATATCTTTGTGATTAATTTATTGCAGAACAAATATAGTATTGCAACAAATTTTACAACGTCTGACTTTTCCTCTTCTTCTTTATTAAAAATAAAAAAAATACAACAAATATGTCATAATGTTCCACTATGCCTTTATTAAGATTATCATATTCTGGTATTTTACAAGCTATTTGCCTCCTCTTTCTTCTCTTTCACTTTTATTCCCTTTTTAATATGTTCTTTTGATATAAGTTACTTGGATTCTTCGAAAATGTTGCTATATTCGTGTCGGATCCTTCAAAATTAAGAAAAATTTATTTTTATTATTTTTTTATTCTTTTATTTGATTTGATTTTCCACTTGTTGTTCGTACCACATTGGAACCTGATTAAATTTAGATTTGCACCGGAAAGTTTCACATTTGAGGTAAAGCGCTTCCTAAAAAAAGAGACTTTATACCAAGGGGAACTCGAACCCGAGAGTCTAATTAAGGATGAATGAGTACTTTCTACTGCATCACAATCCTTGTTGATCCCAAGTAAGAAATTTAATTTGCTATCGGGACGCTCGTTCATTTTAATTTCTCCAGTATGATGACACACATTCATTAGCAATAAATAAAATGATAATATACCAACATGGGTTGTGGTGCACTGGTGGAGTGCTTCACCCTTAACCAAATGTCTCGGGTTCGAGCCCTGGGTACGGAGAAAATCTTGATGGGAGCATCACCCCAGAATGGGTCCTGCAGTGCGCGATCCAAATTTAGTTGGAGCTCCAATGTGGGCTTCGAACACTGGGTGGAAAACAAAAAAAAATGATAATATTACGATAACACAGAGTGAGTAATCTAATACTTCCTATGTCTCATTAATTGATCACTTTTCATTTTGTATGGTGCTTAAAAAATCATAAATACAAAAATAATTTTATTAATTCACCCTTTCAAAAAATATGTAGGTATTTTATAAACAAATATGAACACTTTTAAAAAGAATTAATTACAATGATAATATAGAAAATATTAATATGAGATAATTATTTCTAATATAATGATTAACTAATATGAGAGGAAGAGAGTACTTAATTCTATTTTCAACCAAATTCGTAATTGATTCTTTGCAATTAATTTATTACATAAACAAATATATTGCTTACTTAACGTATCATAAATATACACGCTATTTACCTCCTCTTTCTTCTCCTTCACTTTTTTTTTCTCTTTTTTGAATATTTTCTTATAATATAAGTTCTTCTTTTTGAATAGTCTAACCAGTAGTTGACTTAGAGACATTCTTTGGTTTATCTTTTATAGAGATTTTACGTAATTGAGATCAACAAGAAGGTGTTTGGTCATGAAAATCAAATTAATATTATTTGGAATTATTTAACATCTGAAGAACTAGTCAAAGCAAGGACATAAATCTCAATCCACAAAGTATATACTCTTTTGGTCCCTTTTTACTTGTTAAATTTTGACTTGACACACCTATTAAGAAAACAATAATTGGTATAGTGAGTTTACCATTTTACCTTATTAATTGATAGAATCTTAAACATATTTACTCACTACATTTTTCAAAGACATTAATTCAATGTTAATAAATTAAGGGTATAATAGAAAGAAAATAATTGTTCTTCCTTCATTTGTAAAAAAAAAAAATGACGAAGTAAAAAGGGAAATCAAGTTAGAAAATATTTGACAAGTAAATAGAATAGGAATGGATGGAGTATATGAAATTTGCAAATAATGACCATAAATCACCACAAACATTTATGAGAAGTATATTCACTATACAGATTCATCTCTTTTTACTAAGTTTTAGTGCAGCTCAAAAAACTAGCAGTATACAATGGAAAAAGTTGATTACATAAATAAAACAAAATTTTATACAGAAGCAACTGACTTGAACCAACATTACTGAGTTATGTGAAACCCATAACTTCAGATTGTAGTTGGATGAGTATTTTGAATATTGCATGTTGAATCAAAATTAACTTGCTCTTCAATCTTAGTTTAATTTTGATTCAACTAAGATTTGAAGCGAGTGATGATGTTCTTCAAGGATTGAGCTGATATCCTCTGTTTAACACTCTTTTTGAGTTCTTTTCCACTGAGACTCTCTCTGTTCATTATCTGAGAATGCAAAAGATTTTCTTCAAGGATTGGTGGTGAAGATGTAACATTTCCATGTTTGTCTAAGTATAACAGATGTACCCCTATCTTCTTTACTCTACCTTTGTCAGGGTCCTCCTCGACTGTTATCTTTTCCCCGCCTTTGATCATCAGGCCAGAATAATGACTAGTTAAGCAAGATATGTAATATACACATGATACTTCTCCGTGTGATTCGGGTGTAGGAATAAACCTAGTCCAGTAAAAAACTAAAGGCTTTTTATTGGATACGGTAACAAGGAAGTGTCCAAACTGGGATAAAATCTGAGAGTCGCAAACAAACCAGAGAATCATTCCTAACGACTTTTTCTTATGTACGGAGGGAATAGTGAAACAGATAGATGGAGCTGTTACTTGAATGCTGCACCAATCTGGAATCTCATTGCTTTGGAGATAAATGTGTAACCGCAGCTTCATCAGACAAATTAAGACACAATTAGAACATTAATTAATAATGTGATACGAGACACACAAAAATAAAGGGACTTGCCTGAAACATTGCATATTTTCTAGATGAAATTGATAGAGCATGGGCACTAAAGAAGCCTTCATTGAATGGATTCTGCAGAGAAGTACAATTAAGAGTGTCGATCTCTTGTATTGAAGGGAGGTTGTCCAACCCTGTAATCTTGACCAGTTTTTGGCAATTCCTAAGTTCAAGAATTTCAAGATACTCTAAATTTGATATTGACGGGAGTGTTTGAAGATTCACACAATCATTCAAACGCAAGGACTTCAACCATGGTAACTTGGAGAAATCAAAGGGTAGATAGAGGAAACTGTTGCCCCTCAAATCTAAATCATGTAAGTTGGATAAAGTCCCAATATCCCTAGGAATATCAGCATCGGAGAAACCACAATATCGAAGGCTTAAACGAGAAATAGAAATTGGCAAGGATTCTATATGGTGGGATCTTTTTTGATAAACTCTCCTTTTTGCCTCTAAATTTCGACCTCCCACTTGCAAAGATTTAAGATTTCTTAGCATTTCAACAGATCCGGGCAATTGTTTTATACCCGTATCTTGTGCATCTAGATGTCTTAGGCTTTGCATATCTCCAATGTCAGCAGGCAGTGTTTGTAAAGATAAGCAGTCATTAATGTCCAAGTATTCAAGAGATTTTAGCTGGCATGTGCTGCTTGGAAGATCCGTAATCTTTTTGCAACCAAACAAATGAAGATCAGTTAGTCTGTCCAAATTTCCTATTGATGGATGGATCTCCTTCAGACATGAGCAATTCTGGAGCCACAAAGTCTCAAGACTTCGTGAACCGCTGAAGTTTGGAGTACTTCTGAGGCGCTTGCAATCAGAGAGATCCAGCTTCTTCAAATTTCTACAATACTAAAATAAACAAAATATAGTTTCAATTAAGATTTTCTTTCTCTTAGTTGCAATATAACAGTACACATGAAATTGCAGAATTGAGTAACGAACCTGCAAATTCAAACCAAATTCTTGGATATTGCTCCCTTTCATATTCAGAAATACAAATTTCTCAGATGGAAAATTTGACGGTATACATTTTAAAGGACATCCTTCCCAAGACAACCATCTGAGCTCCTTGGACAATAGCTCAAAATCTCCACTAATATTTAAGTTGTCGATTTTAAGCACCCTAAGTTTTATCATTTTCTGAAATGCTTTGGTGCTCAGCTTCACACCCTTTAATGCATGTCGTTCTACCACCAGTACTTCTACATTTTCAGAACCCTGTAGTTAAGTAAAAAAGAAAAGTACTATAAGACCATGTTAAGTACGAGAAATTAAGAGAGAGAAATGCTTTATACAAATTGAAGGTCAAACAAAGAGAATAAATTATCTACCAATAAAAATAAATCTACACATTATATCCAACTAAAGGATATTTAAAAGTAAGAAATATCTTTCAGCAAACCGATTTTTATTTGATAATTCTGTCTTTGATAGTTTGAGTGTTTAGACTCCAGTAAATATTCATTTCAAGTACAGAGTGGTACAAACAACTAGATATAATTTACTAGCTAGAAAGAATGAAGCACAAATGAATTGAATTCTTACGGTGACACATAAATTATAAGCAAATGTATATCAAATTAAATGAAAAGAAAAAAAGAGAAAAGAAAGTATAACCAAGATAAAGATAATGAAATTTACTTACTTTATTTCCTTGTAGAACGTCACAGACTTCTTGAGGGTTGAACAATCTACTCCGTTTTCCAGAGTCTCGAGGTGATTCCATGCGAACGATTTCTCTTCCCATATCCCGCACTAGATCATGCATCCCCAAACAAACCACATACCTTTGGAGCAAGTTCCTTTGGACTAAGGTTGAAATTGCACTTTCAGAATAAAAACCACATGCATTTAATGTTTTGGTAACATCATCCTTAAAACATCCATGGAAGGCACATGCGATATCAAGGAAAACACTCTGAGTATTGTCATCAAGTCCATCAAAGCTTATCTGGAGAATCTTTTGAATATCACAATGAGGAATTGCTTTTAGTTTCTTGAACTCATCTCTCCATTCTTCAACGGATCTCCCTAGCAGATGTGACCCCAATGTCACAAGAGCTAATGGTAGCCCACCTGAATATTTTATTATGTCTTGTGCCAGCTCAACATATTCTTGTGGTGGTGAAAGACTGTTATTAAAAGCATGACAATAAAAAAGTTGTTGAGCTTCATTTACATTTAAAAGTTCGGTCTGGTATATTTCACTTGTGTTAAGCCCATGTAGTAACTGCTCGTCTCGGGTTGTAATAATTATTACACTACCAGAGCCAAACCAACTTCTTTCTCTTGCCAAGGATTCTAATTGGCTTCTATGATCAACGTCATCAAGAACAATTAGAACTTTCTTTGACCCAAGTCTTGCTTTGATTAGATTGACACCTTCAGCAACACTATCAACTTCGAATTCCTTAGTTTTGAGAATTTGACAAAGTAGTTTCTCTTGTAGCTTGATTAACCCCGATTCTTCAGCTTTTGATCTAATGTCTGAAAGGAAGCAACAACAACCACCAAACTGTCGAAATATTCGATTGTATATGGCTTTTGCCAGAGTTGTTTTTCCAATTCCACCAACGCCACATATACCAACCATATGAACTTCATGCTCACATCCACTTTGCAGTAACAACTCTATATGTTGGATAGAATAATCTAATCCAATTGGGTAATGAGCAACATCTAGAGGTGTCTGGTTGACCTCTTGCAGAACTTGTTTTATAATACTCCCGATAAATTTTGATTCATGCCTACAGTTTTTTTAGCAATAACAGAAGTTAAAAGTAGTTCTCCCCAGATGGCATGGAAATTGATAGCTAACAGATAACAGGGAAATCGAGGATAGAGGATGGAAATTGTCCATTAATACTGCTCCCGGATGTAGTTTGATTTAACGCGGAATTTAAGAAATATAGAAGACTTTGCAATGTTCCAAAATTAACCAACTTATAAGCTTAGGCAAACGCTTAAATTCAAAATTCTATAGTTGAATTAAGAAGTCTTACCCATCAGCCATGTTTCGCAGATCCCATCCAGATAAATTCGCAGCTTCAGTGAGTGCTGCTTTCCACTTTTCCATTCTTTCAGCTCCAAACAATCGTTCCTTGTGTTTTGCCAAAGCTTCGCCAAAGGACCCAGTTTGCTTTCGCACTTGAGAAGGATCAACATCATAGAAAATAGGCAAAACTACCTGAATTAACTTCGCTCTGCAATCGAGAATTTTGACAAGTTCATCAAGACACCAACTAGAGGAAGCATAATTTTCTGAGAAAACAACAATGGCAACCCTAGATTGTTCAATTGCTTTGTCAAGTTTTGTTGAAATGACGTCTCCCTTTCTCAATTCCTCATCATCTATGAAGGTATGAACTCCGACTTGACATAATTGGGTGTAAAGATGACCTGTGAAGGTTTTGCGGGTATCTTCACCTCTGAAACTAAGAAATACATCATAATACAAGTGGGAAGAAGATGATGATTCTCCTTGAGTATTCATTGATGAAACCAAAAAAGCTCACTGTATAGTATTAGATCAACTATTTTGCAAGATGCCTCCCAAGTCCAAGAAATTTAATTTGTTACTCTCACAACTCCGTTTATTTTAATTTGTCCACTACAACAATACACATTAAAATAACAATATTACGATTACACACAAAGTGAATAATTTTATTCCCCACCAAATGTTAATACAAGTTGCATCTTGAATTGGACCGGTTCTATATCTTTGTGATTAATTTATTGCAGAACAAATATAGTATTGCAACTTGGACTTTAAAATTTTACTAACTTCTGACTTTTCCTCTTCTTTTTTAAAAATAAAATACAAGAATTATATGTCACCATGTTTCATTATGCCTTTATTAATCACCGCTCTATAATTGCCGGTAAATTAGGGGTGGCAATTGAGCGAGTTGAGTTAAATTTAGACGGGTCAAAATAAATCAAGATAATAAACGGATCAAGACTCAAGTCAACCAAAATTTGTTTGGACCAAAGTGGGATGAGACAAAACGGGTTGGTAAGGAGTCATAACCCAACCCGACCAATTTTTATTAAGTTTTAATAGTTTTATTGTTATTTTATAAGTTTTTAATACCTAATAAAAAATATTTCTCTTTATTATAATTATATATAACATGGAAAATCAAAAAAAAAAAAAATTAAAAATATCAACCCAATTTTTAATGGATTAAAATGGATGGGTCAATAACCAATTCAAACCTATATGAATTGAATCGGATTGGACAGGTTGGATTTGATTTGTCAACCCTTATCTAAATCACCGCTAAATAAACCTAATCAAACAATTTAACTTTTAGAGTGAACTTGTTCTAATCATGAACACATGAAAACCAAATAAAAAAGAAAGAATACATAGCAAAAACTCGAATTAATGAACTATGAAAATAAATAAATTAAACTTAGTAGTAATATAATACAGACCATTAAGAGAGATTAAAGTCTCCACATATGCTAGTGCAATATATATATTCTTGATCAAAATAAGGGAGTGATGATTTAAGCATATCGACTTTAATGTGTTTGAACACCTCAACTCTAACTTCATCTCAATATTATCGTCTTTTTGAATATAAACCTCAAACATAAAAAAAAATCATCTTAATATATATCAAATAAATATTATATTCATCAAAGTAATATAATATAATACAATATATTATAAAAGAATATGCATCAGTCATCCGAATAAGGTGTAAATTAAACAAGAGAAACACAAGGCCTTACAAAGCACTAATTAATTAATTAGATTAGAAATAATATTTAATTAAGAAGATGAAATGTGAGTCCTTGAAGATGATGATGAGACTACGTCAATTGCACAACCCAATGGCCATGCTGCTTCCACACGATTATTGTTGTAATTAATATCATGCACCAATGTAATCTCTCTATGAGGATTCAAACCTGAAAAATAATCCAAAAAAATAAATTGATTAAAACTCTACTTATTTGTTAAGATTCCAACAAAATATGAATTAAATTCACGTATAGTCATTAAATTATATTTATCGTAATTATAAAGTCATAAAAACTATTTTTTGTTACGTTAAGTAACTGAATTTTATTCACTATAACAATAGAATAACAAAACTACTTTTTCGTTTGATTAAAGTAATCGTACCAACTACTCCCTCTCATTTAATTTATATGTGTCTTAATTTTCTTTAGTTTGTATATAAGAGAATGTTACTTTCTACAATATTTTTACTCTTAAACTTTACATTCCATGTGACATATTTTTTTATACCACAAGAATCAAAGGGTATTTTGATACATTAATTATACACATCTGATCACATAAAATGATACGGAGGAAGTATAACAACAAAGTCAGTAAACTTTACCTGCTATAACGATAAAGCCTACCCATATATCAAGATAAATTTATTATTATAACAATCAGATAGTGACTTTATTGTTACTGGCATTCTCTATAATAGCATTTCATCATAATGGTCAAGTTTATTTCAGAATTGATTTTTATGTCATGTTCTATGTTTTTTTATAGTAGCTAAAAATATTTAGACAAACGACATCGTTATACCAAAACTTACCAAATCCATCCACAAGTAAAGAGAATTGGTATATCATATCCATGCAAAGATATGGGAGATCTTTACTATCCACATTAGGAAACACATATTTTACTTCTTCAGCTTTTAGCTTGCAAGCAATCTTGGCTGCATTTAGGTATTGTATTGGCTTAGCTTTGCCAGATGATGCTTTTGGATCAACAATATTAACCTGTAATATAATAATTCATGATAAAATCTACTCAATCATATAATGACTTAACACATAAACGTGTTTTTTATCTTGGTCTCTGCTGACATTTATGTTACGTTGGGAATTAAGAATTGAAGAATAATTATATATATATATATTACCTCAGAAGCCATATCAAAGAAAAATGATGAAATATATATATTCTTGATAGCATCAAGACCTCCACCATTCCATACACCATTAAAAGAACAAGTATGGTATTTACATGGTGCATTTAACTTAAGTGTCTTCCACACAATTGCCTTGCATTTTCTCAAACTTGAACCATTTGGTGAAGGTGAAACTTTATATGCTACTCCCCCATATGTGTAGTAACCTTCAAATAAAATAGTATATATTATGGTTAAATTTGTAATGAGATAATTTGAATTTATATAAATATCTATATTTTCCCCCGAAAATTAAGGTCTACGTACAGTTATAAGATTTCACTTGGTATGTTGTTGTATTTATGATTTGTTTTAAACAATAAATTTCAAACAAAATAAATCTTAAACCTTTGTGCCTATTCAAACACTGCTATATTTAAATAGTTATGTACCATAAGTGCCCTTCAAAATGCATGGACTAGTAGAGTTTCTTGAAACTTTAAGAATTTCAGCTCGTGATGCTAATAGACCATAGTTCAAATAACTGCACAAAAAAAAGTTAATTTTACATATAGTAACGGAGTCAGAATCTTAGATTCAATATATAAAGAAGTAAATGTACGAAGAAGTCAAAGGGATTCTACGACATTTAAAAGTAATTTTACCTATGAACATAAAGGTAATAATTAGCTCCCATGAGGGATTTTTGTAACACATATTTTTCTCCATCTAAATTTATTGGAGCTTTTTCTGAATTTTCCTTTGATAAAGCAAAAGCCATTTGTACTGATCCACCTCCAAGATCTATAGTAGCTACTGTATTTTGGTAGCTTTTACGCAAAGTTCTTAATAAATAGTTCAAGCTAACCTGTAATAAAATAATTATTGAAAAAAGCAATCAAACATTTTAAGAACTATATGATTAAAAAAGTAAATAAAAGTGTATTGTCTTTAAAAGTTTTAAGTTTTTAGATGAGACGTAGAGGTATTGAGATCGAATCTCACTAACATCCGTTGCTTTTAGATAAGATGATCGCAAAGTTCATCAACACAACAAAACAAGGAAGTGAATTATTAATATTTTTATCGATAAAGTCAATTTTTTAATCAAAAGGGGGAAAAAGGACTTCTTTTTTTGTGTTTTTTCACAAGGTGTTTAGTCCTATTTTATAGTTTGATTAATCTAAATTTGCATAATTTTTTTACTTTAAAAGTAAAAATATTCTGAACAAAAGACAACTGCATATTCTGAGCTCAACGGAGAAAATACTTACCCAAAAATAAGAACCTTCTTGAGTTCCGCTAAGGATAGAAACCCATTCATCCTTGTATTCAAATATGCTTTCATTCTTCAGCATATTTCTCACCTTTGAAAAATATTAATTAACATAATAACACAAATAATTACTAAACAATTAATTTAGTGTCATTTATAATTACGATTATAGCCACACAAAAAAAAAGTGGTTAGAATTGTACCGATTGCATAATTCTTTCTGCTCTATTGCCTTTTAGCATTCTTAAGCCTGCAGTTGCCTGTATTATTAACCATTAAGATAACAATTTGGTAAGATAAGAATAAAATAATTAGTATTATTAAGGCCATTTAGTAAATATTTTATATTTTAAGTTAATTATTTCTATTTTAATTAAAGTTATTCATTCTTATTTTCCTCAATGTGTATTTATTCATTGTGAATATATTGTTGTTCTTTAACAAAATTAACTAAAGTATTTTCAGAGTTAATTTCTCAGGTGATCACTCAATTAAATCGCTTATAACAACAACACCATATTCAGTGAAATCCTACAAGTGATGAGGTCTAGGGAGGATAGAATATACGCATATGTTACCACTACCTCGGAGGGGTAGAGAGACTATTTCGGAAAAATCCTCGGCTTAAGTACAACAAATCCAAATCGCTTATAACAATTGATTAAATTATACTGATAGTGTAAAAATTACGATACTAACCCCAACTTCCACAGGTGTATCAGTGTGCAAGTTTATTGGAACAACACTTTCAGCTTTTATTAGAAGGGGCTGTAATGATTTGGCAGCTGCCTTTGGATCATTTTCATATGAACTCAATCCTGGTTTAACCTGCATTTTCCGACACAAATCTAAATTAATCACTCAGAAGGAGGAATACCGAACACTGAATAAAAAACAAAAAAAAAAACTAAACATAATCCATATTTCGTTATGTATTTAATCCTACGCTATTTTTTCTAAAACATCGGAATAATTTGAAATACGTTAATTTAATTTATCAAAACGACTAATATTTGAGATCAGAGTATAACGTACATACCTTATCAAAAACTTCAAGACCATATTCACCAATAGGAAGTAAATCCAAATTTTGGCTAAAACGAAAAACATGAACTCTACTTCCACTGCTTCCAGCATCAAATATTACTGCATAATAACTATCTGTTTGGTTGCTCAGTAAATTTCTCCTTATATGAGAATGTTCATGACTTGATTTCACACAAATTAGCAAAACAACCAAACAGGTCATAAGAACAAGTGAACTATTTTTCTTCAACATTTTCATCTGAACCAATTAAATTGCCTAGTGAAGTTCTGCAGCTTTACAATAACAAGGGAAAAATTAATATCTGCCATGAAACAAGGATTGCTCAAGATCATATAAGACGAACATATTCTAATTAACACGATCATACGCTCTGAAGTCAATATATTAGACATATCGCGTGGATAACATAATATGGGAGTCCAACATTGGGCAAATCAAAAATAGAGAAGGCTACCAACCATGACAAGTAAAATAAACATTATATTCAATACTAAAAATCACTATTTTCCCATTGAAATGTTCAGTGGCTATTTCGACACATATATTTTGATTGATTCAAGAAAAAATATTAGTATTTTCACATGGAATATATTAGTAAGTTTCTCAGTATTTCTGAAAGAATCTATTTTCAATCATGTGTTTTCCTAGTGAGCTAGTTCGGTCCAAAATGGATTTAAAAAGAATCATGCTTTATAACGCAATTTCTGATTGATTCGTGATGGAAGAAACTTTTGTTTCTAGTAATGATCGGACCTAATTTAATCATAACTAAACCAAGATCATGAAGTGAGAATTGTCCGTGACCATACATCAAGAAAAAAAAAAGCAAGTAAGCTTATAAGATCCAAGGAAATGCAAAGATAGAATAGAAGGAAGATAATAAATACAAACAAAATGTAAACAAAAATATGTCTATATATGATTAAAAAATCATATTACCTGAATTAAGGATTTAAGGTTGCTGAAAAGTGTTGGAATTGTGAAATGCCAAAGATCAACATAATTGGTTTATATAGTACTACAAAAAAAATTGTGGAATCCAACAAATTGGTCTAATTAAGAAAAGTATAACGTGAAACGTGTCCTAATTCTACTAGCCCAAAATGTTAATCGTTACTTTTTAATCATTCTAATCAACCTGTAACACATGGGAATTTTTTTTAAACCTTTTGAGTGAAATAACAATGTATCTATTAAAATGACGGAGATCATTTTATCCTTATTTAGAGGTTTTGAAGTCAAGTTATGTTAATGAAGAACTATCATTTGATAGGGAATATGCTAGTCGGCATATTTTAATGCGAATTTGAGTTGATCGATTTAGAGGGTTTTCAGATATTATAGGCGGATCTAAAAAAGATAAATGAATAGCCTTGTATGTATATAGTATGGGCTCATTGCAATTTTTATTTTTCGAAAATTGTTGTTTAACACCTAATTAATGTGGTCTCATTTCATGATTAGTGCTTCTTTTATTATACACTAAGCATGTGATTCATGAAGTGGAATCATGATTGGGAAATTTTTTACTTAAAGCATCTGTCATGATTAATCTTCATATGCCCATATGATAATCTTTAGAAAAGATATATTTGGTGCATTTCAATTTATATAACCTATTTAGATCTTTTTAATTTGTATTTTTGGTAATTTTAAAATTTTAATTTTCTATATGGCATTTTAAAGCTATATAATTACACAAATATTTTGATACATTTTAATATCCTTAATGAAGTAATTAGAAATTTTGAATATGCTTCTCTGATTTCTCTGGAATGTCCTTTCAATGAAAGTTATCTCAAATTATAATGTGACAAATTCATATGTGAGCAAGGATGAAGTTAAAGAAGTGGGGACACATTTGTCTCTTCAAATTATTTATGTTGTTAAATTATACACATAAATTATGTGTATTTGTTTAATTTTATACGAATTTAAATGACTATTTGTGTACATTGAAAGCTGGAGGCATAGATATAACTGAGGTCAAATTAAAAGGCATTTTTACGTAGTATGTTCAGTTTTTGTTTGATAGGACTTTCGGCAGCCGCATAGTAAATCATGATATTAGTAATACAAGAATAATTAATAGATGAATAAGCATGGTAAAAGATAAATTGCTCTTAATGCACCAAACCAAACTAATCTCAATATTAATAATATATCATATTCAATAGTACTATTTTTATGCACTCTATCACATTGAACTTGATGTTAGGATATTAGACAATTTGAATGGTTGCTTTCTTATCTCTTTGGATTTTGGCAGGTGAAAGTTAGGCTTAAAACGACAAGAAAGAAAATTTGGTGGTGGTTGGTAGCCATGGTATTTCCTTTCCACCAAAATAGAGACTCTGAGATTCCAGTCCCGCTAGTAATATTGTTCGCTCCTACCCTTAGTCCCTTAGGCCCGCGTTGGTTTAAAGTGCATCACTACAAGGTCGGCTTACTTATATACCCAACATTACTCGTATGTTGACATGGGACTCTTCCCTAAGATAGGGTGTCACTAGTTTGCTTTGAATTCAAGAAACAAAAATCATAACCAAAACGCAAATGGAGGTAACTTAGCACACCACCAACCATAACTCAAATATTATTAAAACATTTTGGTCTTCTTTCAAATGAGACCATTTTTTTCTGCAAAACATGCCAACTTCCTCCCAAATATATCCCCAACAATAATCAAAACACTATTATCCTAAACAAACTCAAAGTATTCAACGCAAAATAATCATGCCGCGACAATATTGTTCCTCTGTCAAATTGTCTTCCCTCAGTACCTGTAGTGAGCAGGCTTGTAAGGACCCTCAACTGGTACGCTAATGTAGTCGGCTTGATCCTTGGTAAGCTTGGTAAGCTTGGCTCCAAGCTTTCCAAGATGAAGGGCAGCAACCTTCTCGTCGAGGTGCTTTGGCAAAACATACACCTTCTTCTCGTAATTGCCACTGCTCCTCTCATTCCACAACTCGAGTTGGGCAATGACTTGGTTAGTGAAAGAGCAGGACATCACAAAACTGGGGTGTCCAGTGGCACATCCCAAGTTCATGAGACGACCCTCGGCCAAGAGAATGATGCCACTGTTGGTGTCTGGGAAAACCCATCTGTCGGTTTGAGGCTTGATTGTGATCCTCTTCACACCAGGGAAGGTCTCAAGACCATGCATGTCAATTTCATTGTCAAAGTGACCAATGTTGCAGACAATGGCATTGTTCTTCATCTTCCTCATGTGGTCAACCATGATGATGTCCTTGTTACCGGTTGTGGTCACAAAGATATCAACCTCAGAAACAACATCCTCAAGAGGAAGAACCTGGAGACCTTCCATGGTAGCCTGGAGAGCACAGATAGGATCAATCTCAGTCACAATAACACGGGCACCAGCTTGTTTCATGGCAGCAGCACATCCCTTGCCGACATCTCCATAACCGGCAACAAGGGCAACCTTTCCAGCAATCATAACATCAGTAGCCCTCATGAGACCATCGGGAAGTGAGTGGCGGCATCCATACAAGTTGTCAAACTGGCACACCAAAAAGATCAATACAACTATCAGTCCATACGCCAACATTATCTTATTTAAACAAGAACTACTACAACAAGCATCTCCAACAATTAAGGTAAAGATCTTTACTTGCTACCAAGTCTTTTTGCAAAATGAATCAGACTTCCATTAGCCATATACAGGACATATAAGTAGAAATATCTACCCTAATCACAGCTGCAATTCATCAGCATATTAGTAAGTGGAAAATTGTACCAAAGATCAGACATTTAAGTAACCATCTACTATCAGCTTAACAAGATAGATCAAATGAAATATGTTCCTATTAGTACATAAATATCTCTCTAATTCAAGTTACAATCTTCCAATTGGTGAACTTCAAGCTACTAAAGTCCACTAAGGCAAATAATCTGTTCCACCAAGCAAACCAACAACATGAGTAATGAAGCAAAATCAAAACTTTCATTTCTTATTTACTAATCACTGATACTATACTTAATACTAATACAGATCAACCCAACATTAAGTTCAAGTATGATTCCCTCTGTATTAGATCCAAACTTTCATATAAGATCTGTATTTCAAACAGTAATTCACACAACAAATCTACACAGATCTGAAACACAAGTAACAAAATCACAGTAAGCAAAACACACATACCTTGCTCTTGGTAACAGAGTCATTAACATTAATAGCAGGGAAAAGCAAAGTTCCATTAGCCTGCATTTGGTAAAGCCTCTTAACACCAGTGGTAGTTTCCTCAGAAACACCAACAAGTCTCTCCTTCATCTTAGTGTACCTTAAAGGATCAGTCTTTAAGCTCTCCTTAATAATAGTAAGCACAAGTTGAAACTCAACGTTATCAGTAGAAGTAGGATCTGGGATGGTTCCATTCTTAGCAAACTCCTCTTCAGCCTTAACACCCTCATGAATCAAGAGAGTAGCATCACCTCCATCATCAACAATCAGATCAGGACCACCACCTGGACCCCAATCAAGTGCTCTCTCAGTACACCACCAGTACTCCTGCAAAGTCTCGCCTTTCCAGGCAAAAACAGCAGCACTGTCACGTGCAATGGCTGCTGCAGCATGATCCTGAGTTGAGAAGATGTTGCAAGAACACCATCTAACTTCAGCACCCAAAGCAGTTAGGGTTTCAATAAGGACAGCAGTTTGGATAGTCATATGCAGAGATCCAGTGATCTTTGCACCTTTGAAGGGCTGTGAAGGGCCGAATTCAGTACGGGAAGCCATGAGACCAGGCATTTCAACTTCGGCAAGCTCGATTTCGAGCCTGCCGAAGTCAGCCTGGGACATGTCCTTCACCTTGTACTCGCGGCCAGAGGTGGTCTTCTCAACAAGTAGAGCCATGGGTAAGGCGAGTATAAGAGAAAAACTGAGAGAAAATGGGTGAATTTGAGACGAAATTGAGAGAAAGAGGCGATTTCTTTTCTTCCTTTGGGTTTTAAGGGAAGAAGAAGAGTGTTGCAAGGAATAAGGGACGGAGGTGAGTGGTATAAATAGGCTTCTTTGATGGAAATGGACGGTCAAGATTTGTTTCAGATCTGAAAAATTGATTGGATTAAATTGAGGTTTGGTAGACCTACAAATTTGATAAATAAAAAATATTTAAAATTTTGATTGGATGATGTATTTTCTTTTCAAAATTGGAAATGCTTAGTTTAATTTTTCATTAGGGTGATGTTTTAAATTTATTTTTAGGGGTTGGTTGGTTGGTTGGTAGCGAAGATGGGATCGATAGAGAAAGTTAGTATTTCAGATCGAAATATTTTATAACATTAGTCATATCGATTATATATATGTATATGGGAAAATGTCTTTGATTCGAATTTTGAGTATGAAAGAATCATTGGTAGAGACTAGAGAGCGCTACTTTTTTAATGAGAATTTACATGGTGTGAATTTGAATTAGTCAAGAGTTCAATATGAATATCGGACACCAAATGAAAAAAATAGATGATGAGTTAGTCATCTCGTTATATATATATGGGATAAAGAATGTGGTGCAGTAAATGAAGTTATTTATCCTTTAACCATATGTCTTCGGTTCAAGTTTTGAGTATGAAAGAATAATCATTAGTAGAGAGCACTTCTTTTTAAATGAGATTCCACATGATTTGAATCTGAATTAGTCAAGACTTCAATATGAATATCGAACCTCGAATAAAAAAATAGATGATGTAGTTATATATTTTTTTCTCGAATTATTAACCCCTTGCATTTTTCACTTTCAGATTTCGAATTCTAAGCTTTTGATTAAGGACGGAGACCGGAGAGATTTCTATATACTAACCCTTGAACAATAATTCTCTCTATATTAAAACCCCCCTCATCATTTAGTTGGCATTGTTTTTAGGTAAAATGGGTGTGTACTTGATGCACATGTAGTTATGTGACGATGGGGATTTTAATATACAACAAGTTATTGTTCAGGATATTACGGAAACATACGAGATTTAGATATGTAATTCTCGTAAGTATAATAGTTCAGGTCTTTTTAACCTATTCATTCTAAAGTATACGATTTGTTTATATTTGTCTTACATTTAGCAATTGAATATCCATGAAGCCTGAAGGTTTTTATTGTTGTTTTTGTGTAAAATGTGTACATTAATTGAAAGATATATTTGGGATAAAAGATACTGATGATAGTTCATGAACCAAATTGTAACATTGTTTTGTATGGATAAATAAAATGATTAATTTCTATTTTCTCTCAAATGTAACATATTTTAGGAAAACAAACATTACCTTAAAAAAAAAAAAAAAAAATGTAACTATTTGTGGCAATCAGTATAGGCATAATTAAGAAAAATTGTCCTCAAGAAAATAATGAACAATGTTTGAGCACAACTAAAATGAGTCTCAAAAACTTCTCAAACTTCTGGTTGGAAAGGTTCGATTTTAAAATTGTACGTTGAGCTTCCACCTTATACGTTTTAGAGATAGATGAATATGAACTATTCTCGTGAGAACTTTCCTGTTATATGTAGAAACCTAGGCATGTTTACTTGTGGCATGCTATTGTTCTTGTTTTCAAATGTGTAATTTATCGAGTAACTTTTTTTTTCACCATGAGATGGTCGATTGAATTGAAAGTAAAAACGACAAAATATTTAACAGACATCGACCCAAAAAAATTGAATTAGCTACAATAAGCATGGTACACATTAATTTCCAAATTGCGGTGCGGCAAAAGGACCATGTTGTCTTAAATTAAAGGTGGCCCACTACAATTTTTTTCCTAACAAAGTATAAACTAAAGTGACTCAATATTATTGTACAATTTTTTCCTTACACAAGAAAAAGTTGAGTTCTAAACTCTACTATATCATCGTTTCCAATAATCTATCGTAGTAAATTTATTGTTTATGGTGTTTCAATTGCTACACTTTTTTATCATTATTATTAATTGCTCCTTTTTGGTAGACTTGACACTATTTTTTGTGACGTAGTATATTTTTTTCTTTATATTTGAATAGCTGCATTAGAGTTGAGGGTCTTTCGAAAACAATCTCTCTACCTCCACATGATAATGGTAAGATCTGCGTATATTCTATTCTCTGAAACCTTACTTGTGGAATTTCACTGAATATATTATTGTTGTTTAAATGTCAATTAGTTCGGTTATGCATTACAAACTATTCATTTAAAACGAAAGTGTTTTCGTTTCTATCAATTATTTTACATGTATATTACAACTCGAACTCAAAAGTATGGTTAATAGATGCGTGATATTTCTTTTACTAAACCATGGTTAATTAGACTATCTTATCTATTTGGATAGCATTAGGTGAAGTGAAGCTGGAAAAAAAAAAGCAACAAAGAAAATTTGGTGGTGGTGGTTGGTGAAAGATCATTTAGGAAAATGAGTTTATAATTACTTTATTTTTTTACTAGCAAATTTTGTTTTGGTCTTCCTTTAAAAAACTATTTCTTTTCCAACAAGCATTCAACTTTTTCACCCAAAATATCTCAAATTTGAGGTCCTTTTAGATTGCACAAAATAGTTACAAGAAGTGTACATACAAGTGATTGATGATTGAATAGAGCTTTGGTTAAATGGGGGTCAAATTTAAAATTTGAATTTAAATCAATAATTATTTATAAAACGTGAATAAGAACTTCAAATTATGATTTGAAATTTCAAATTCTCCAAAAAAGAAAAAAAAATTCAAATTTCAAGTGTGCTTTAATTTTATTAAAATGTAAAAATTGACTCTTTAAGTTCCTAATTACAAAAAAAAAATGTCCATCATTTTGAATTATATAACAAGAGGTTTATGCTCAACGTAGTTAATTGTTTGTATAATTAGAAAAGAAAATATTAAAAATCTTTTTTCTTTTCTTTTAATTTATTTGGGGGGGGGGGGGAGGGGGGGTGTTAAGATGGAGGGGGAACCTAAATAAGCCACAAAAACATAAAAGTGACCAAAATAAGCCACTACTTTAGGAAGTAACTAAAATAGGCTTAGTGGAAGAAAAATTTCCACTTTATCTAATATTCTAAACGTTTTCCGTTAGTGCCATAACGGATATATTTTAATATATAACGGAACTATTTCCTACACTATATAAAATGGAACTATTTCTTACACTTTATAAAGTGTAAGTTTTTCTTACACTTTATAAAGTGTAAGTTTTTCTTACACTTTGTAAAGTGGAGCTTTTTCTTACACTTTGTAAAGTGGAACTTTTTCTTACACTTTATAAAGTGGAAGAAAAAATTCCACTTTACAAAGAGGAATATTTTTCATGTTATCTCTTTATCTTTTTTGCAGTGTTTGTGTCATACAATCAATTATATTGATTTGACATATCATAAAAAGGGAAAAAATTATTCCACTATGTATTTTAAATTTTTTATCCTGAAAAATCCTTCAATCTCTATTTAAGGAGGATGTTCAAACATAGTTGATAGCACCTACAACATAAAGTCTTCTATATTTGTTCATTTCAATCTCAAAAAAAAAAATGTCTTCTAAACCAAAAGTTAGAGTTTCGATTTATTGGGATGGCGAAATTATACATAACGGAAATACCGTTTATTATAATTGTCCTCCCAAACACAATGCTAAATATTCAATTAATGTCTGCTATCATAAATTTCTTTCATCAATTTATAAAAGAATGGGTATAAATAGTACTGATTATAATTTGATTATAGTCGGAAAATACCCTACTTCATTTTTATCACAAGGACAAGTAAATTTTGGAGAGTGGATTATCTATAATGACGAATCGTTGACCGACTTTTTGAGGGTTCCAAATGACTTCATAGATCAAATCAAGTTAACAATACTTGAAATCTATGTTAGGAAGGAGCCTAAGACTAGTCAACAACGTTCTCCTTTATTGGTCGATGTCCATCCCCGATTAGAAAATCGTAATAGCGTTGATGGATTTCCGATAACTCAATCTACTGATTTTTCTAACATGACTCATTATCAAAATATTCTTACCGGTCGATATGATGTTGATTTGAACGAAACTATCAATGAAAGTGACCGGTAATGCTCAATAATTATATTTCGATTATTATTTGTTGATTTTGGCAATTATTTATTAATTTATATGATTTATTATTCTTATTATTATTATTATTATATATTTTGTAGCGGTTTACCTCAGCAAGATAGGAATATTGCTTCAAGTTATGGACTAGATAATTATTTTGGTCAGTCCTCACACTTTCAAATGACGGAAAATGTCGGGACATCCTCAAATTTTCATGTCTCGCCTACTTTTGATACAGATGATTGTCGGTATGTCCAACACTTGATTTTTTATTTAAGTAAGTTAATTGCATGAGACAAATATTTATACTTTTTTACATATATAGGGAAAATATCACATAAGATGAGCCCATTGATCCTGTGAATATCGATGATCGTGACCTTCCAAATTACGGCTCACCTTCAGCTAGTGATAGTGATGATTTGCCTAATGCCGAGGAATCAGGAGATAATGTTCCATTTGAGGTATCATCTAGTGATGATGATTTTTTAATGCCCAATCGGTCGCCAAGACCAATGTCCATGAGTCCTTTTTGTAGTCATGAAATTCCTTATCTGGATCATCTCCAAGATGGTCCAGATATCTTTGGCGATACACATGATGAATATACATCACAACGTACATGGGGTGAACCGGAAGATTTCATGAATGGTGCTATTTATATTGAAAAAGGCATGTTGTTCAATTCAAAGAAGCAGTTGCAAAGAGCAGTTAAGCTTCTACATTTAAAGATAGCGAGGGAGTACTTTGTTATTAAATCGACAAAGAAATCATGGCGACTTGTTTGC